AGCAGTAAAGTCGATGTGAATAAGAAGCGCAGAGACACGGCAAGTAATAAATAAGGCGGGGCCTTCACCCATGGCTGCAAAACCAGGCGATCGGGCATCTCGACAGAATTGCCGTAGTTGAGGGATGCTCACCCAGCGCATTGCATTGGACTTGACACAAATTAAGTGCCCCATCACCTACGTGGTTTTGACCGACAACAGGCTCATCTCCCCGGCGCGGCAACGCGCCATGGCCGGGCGACTTCCCGATGCCACCATAGTGGAACTTGCTGCCGGTCATCAGGCCGTGGTGCAGAAACCTCGGGAACTTGCCAAAATGCTCCTGTCCACGGCCTCTGAGTATCGCGGGCCCATGTCCGAAACATTCGTTGCAGACCTCCATATCCACTCTCCGTACGCATTTGCGTGCAGCAAAGCGCTAACTCTGGAGAATCTGGCCCAGTGGGCCCGACGCAAGGGTATCCACCTGCTGGCCACCGGCGACTTCACCCACCCCGTCTGGTCTGGCGAACTCCGGGATCGTCTGGTGCCGGATGAAGACGGATTCTATACGCATGACGGCGTAAGATTCGTGCCCGGAACCGAGATAAGTTGCGTCTACAAACAGGACGGCCGCGGACGGCGGGTCCACGTTCTGGTTCTGCTTCCTACGTTGGAGGCATCCAACATCTTCACCGGCCTTATTGGCCGCTACGGCAAACTGGAAAACGACGGCAGACCCACGGTTTCGCTGTCAGGCCGCCAGTTGTTGTCCCTCGCGCTCGACTGCCATCCCGATGCCATCGTGATTCCGGCCCACGCCTGGACTCCCTGGTATGGGGTTTTCGGCTCCCGCAGCGGATTCGACAACCTCGCCCAGTGTTTCGGCGATTTGGCCCCCATGATCACGGCAGTTGAAAGTGGCCTGTCTTCCGACCCCGCCATGAATTGGGAGGTTGCCGACCTGGATTCCCGTTCGATTGTTTCGTTTTCAGATGCCCATTCGCTGGGGCGTCTGGGCCGCGAATTAACCGCGTTCAACGCCCCCTTATCCTGGTCGGGATTGTCTACGGCGCTTCGGGAATCCGGCGTAGCGTTCACCGTGGAATTCTATCCCGAAGAGGGAAAGTACCATTACTCCGGCCATCGCAAATGCGGAGTGTCCTTCAATTCAGCGCAGTTGACCGCCAACGGCACTGTTTGTCCGGTTTGCGGGCGGGGCCTGACGCTCGGAGTGTTGCATCGCGTTTCGGAACTTGCGGACCGGATCATCGACAACCGCTCGTCGCCCGATGCAGACGGTTTCATTGAGGGCGCCAATCAGCGGCCCGGCTACTATCGCCAAATTCCTTTGCAGGAGATCATCGCTGCGGTGCGTGGCGTGGGGGTCAACACGCGCACCGTAAACCGGGAGTACCTGTCCATCACCAACGCCATCGGCAGCGAACTGGCGGCGTTAATATCGACGTCGGCCCAGGACTTGTCGTCGGCAGCCGGTGATGATGTCGCCGAAGCCATATTGCGCGCTCGTAGCGGTCAGGTTCACATAACACCTGGATACGATGGCAAGTATGGCTCGATACAGCTGATTGACAATCATCCGTCTCCGCCTCCTGTCCGTTAACCCGCCTGTCATTTTGAGGAGCGTCAGCGACGTGGCAATCCCGGTGCCCATCGCCCTGTCATTGCCAGGAGGCCAACCCCGTGGCAATCGCGTACCCCGCCACGACCCAAAATCCTGTCCATCCTGTTCATTCATGTTGGATTCGGCTCCCGCTCTCCGGTTGGGAGAGCGGCCGGGGGCGAGGGGCGTACCCTCGACTGACACCCCGTGCATCCTGAGCCTGCCGAAGGATCCCACCCCAACGGGATTTTCAAACCCCATATTTGTTAGAATACCGAAATCCGTCCAGCCGGCCAATTCGCAGCCACTCTGGTGGCATTACTAGCCGGCGGTGAGCACCACATGGAAGTAGCCATACGTCGAATGCGGTCCGAAGACATACCGCAGGTCATTGAGATAGAGCAAGAAGCTTTTTCTCCGGGGTGGATTGGCACGCCTTTCCGCCGCGAGTTGAACAGCCGTTACTGCCGTTTTCTGGTTGCGTACCTGCTTAACGAACCCGAAGAGACCCCACTCGACGATCACATTCCCGCCGATGAACAACCTGCCGACGCCTCCCTGTGGGCACGAATGGCGCAGGGAGTAAAAGCGGTTTTTGGCGCCCGCGACGAACTCGCTGTTGATACTTTGGCCGGTTACGTCGGAGTCTGGCTGCAGGGCGACCAGGCTCACATCACCGAAATCGCTGTGCGCGAAAGCCTGCGCGGCCAGGGCATCGGCGAGTTGTTGATCATCGGTACCGTAAGGGTGGCCTTCGAACAGGGGATGGACGAGGTGACCCTTGAAGCAAGGGTATCCAACTTCGTGGCGCGACGCCTCTACGATAAGTACGGATTCAACGAGGCGGGTATCCGCAAAAACTACTACGCCGACAACCGGGAGGATGCGGTCATCATGACCACCGACCACATCCATACCCGTTCGTATCGCGACAAGTTCGACGACTTGCAAACGCGTTTCCTGGAGCGATACGGGGATATCAATATCGAACCATAGGCGCGCCCCCGCGGCGCGGATATGCAACTCGGTTCCAGAAATGGCCCGGAACAAAACGCCACCGCACCGCGCCAATGATCGGCGCAACCCAGGCGGGCATCGAATCTAACGGGCACCGTATCGAATTGGATCGTTTCACAGCCTCAAACGAGCAAGTGGCTACCGCACCGATGCGATTGAAACGACCCCTTCCGGTTGGTTGACCGCAACCGTGGGCCTTGCTAGAATGACCGTCAGTCTAGGTCGTTGGGCGGTTATGCTTACGATAGGTCTCACGGGCGGAATTGGTACGGGGAAAAGCGTCGTGGCAACCTGCTCGTGCAACAGGGGGCATCAATTATCGATGCCGACCGGTTGGGTCACGAAGCGTACACGCCTCACTCGGAAGCGTGGGAGGCGGTAGTCGCAGCCTTCGGAACTGACATATTGACTTCAGAGGGAGAGATCGACCGCCGAAAGCTCGGTGGAATAGTCTTCGCCGACGAAACTCAGTTGGAGCGCCTGAATGGAATCATGCATCCACTGATGGCGAAAATGGTAGAAGACCGTAAAGCCGCGTTCGACGCCGACGGCGTTGCCGTCACTGTAGTAGAGGCGGCGGTACTGTTTGAAGCCGGTTGGGACTCCCTGGTCGATGAGATCTGGACCACACACGCATCGGAATCTACCGTCGTACAACGTTTGTTTGAACGTAACGGACTGGACGAAGCAGAAGCAAAAAAACGAATCAACTCGCAGATGTCCGCGACAGAACGCAACCGCCGGTCCGATGTGGTGGTCGACAATTCTGGCGACCTTACTGCCCTGGAACAGACGGTGAATAAGTTGTGGAAGACGCGAGTCAAAGGAAAGGTTGATCAAAGCAATGGTTGAAGCTAACGTCGAATTGTTGGAAGACGAACCCCAATACAAGGAATTCGCCATCGAAGAATTCCTGGTTCGCAGCGAACCTTATTACCGACCCGTTAGCGACGAGTTGGAACTGTTCCAAGCAGCCTACGAGCAGCATATCCCGGTTTTGCTCAAGGGTCCTACCGGATGCGGAAAAACCCGGTTCGTCGAGTATATGGCCTGGAAGTTGGGGCGCCCGATTACTACCGTTAGAAACGACGCACAGGAAATGAATGAAGGCGAAGTCCGCGTGCCGCTGGTCACCATTGCCTGCCACGAAGACTTGACGGCCAGCGACCTGGTGGGCCGCTATCTTCTGGACGCCCAGGGTACCCGCTGGATCGATGGCCCCATGACCCGCGCGGTCAAAGCCGGCGCCATCCTCTACCTCGACGAGGTCGTGGAAGCCCGGAAAGACACCACCGTGTTGATCCACCCCCTTACCGACCACCGTCGCATTCTGCCGGTAGAAAACACCGGCAACATCATCGAGGCCGACGACCGGTTCCTGCTCTGCATTTCGTACAATCCTCACTACCAGAGCGCCCTCAAAGACCTGAAACACAGCACCCGCCAGCGTTTCATCTCCATTGAGTTTGATTATCCACCAATAGACGTGGAAACCGAGATCGTCGCCAAAGAAAGCGGTTGCAACGAAGAGCAAGCCTACGCCCTGGCCCGCCTCGGTGACAAAATCCGTAACCTGAGGGAACACGGTCTTGCCGAAGGCGCCAGCACCCGCCTGCTGATCTACGCCGGAAGGCTCATGACCCACGGCATCGCGCCCCGCCGCGCCTGCCAGGTGGCCATCGTCTGGACCCTCTCCGACGAACCCGAACTACAACGCAGTATCGAAGAGGTAGTTCATTCCATATTCGAATAGTCATGGGGGCTAAATGGGTGACATCACCCTGAAGGCAATCCAAAGCGCGCTGGAAAATCGCCAGCGACAAACTGCCGCCGCCGACGGACTCATGCCGGCGGCAGTAATGTTGTTGCTGTATCCAAAAGACGGCGATTTTTGTGTGTTGCTCAACAAACGATCAATGGAAGTCGAGCACCACAAAGGAGAGATGTCTTTCTGCGGTGCACGCGGACCGGATAGCAGCGGACTACGAAGGCACGCCCGCCGCGACACGAAAGAGCAGGGCATCGCACCAGAGCTGACATAACTATCCTCGGTCGCCTGGACGACAACGTAACCCGCACCAACTTTTTGGTGAAAGTATTTGTGGGCACCATTCCATATCCATACGAGTTTAGTCCCAGTTCGGTCGAGATCGCCGAAGTGGTGGAAATTCCTCTGGATGTGCTGCGCGACCCAGCGACTATTCGTTGGGATTCGAGAATCGAAGCCGGCCAGCGCGTGGCCGTGCGTTCTTATGGCTACCAACAGCATCTGGTATATGGAGCCACTGCTAAAATTCTTGACCAGTTCCTCGAAACTCTCGAGGACAGTCTGAATGAGGAGGGCACAAGCCTTGACTAATCCCGCGACTGGCGAGCTTCTTGCCGAACTGGCCAAACTTCCCCCAGCCGTTACTGAGGCTTACGAAGCCGTCTCTGACGCAATGGCCGAATCCTTCACCGACGAAGAGATGGCGCTCTGGGCCAAGGAGGGTGTCGCTATCGGCACTCAAACCGTCCGCTCCTGGGAATCTGCCGTGGAATACTACCGCGTCAGCCCAGAGGTCGCCCGGTCACTGGCCTTCGCCTCATTCATGCAGTGGGCTCGGTGCGGTACCTATCTGTCCCAGGATTCCCCGACCCTGGCCGTGGCATTCTTCAAAGCCAGCCCTTCCATCGTTACCAATCTGCGCCCCCAATACATCCCGCGCTGGGCCGGCCTCGGTCGCTCGCTCTACAAGGGAACCTGGAAATCCAGCACCCTTTCGGCCCGTTTCTTCGAGGTCAGTCCAGACCTCGTACGCAATCTGCCTTTCTGGGATGTGGAGGTGTTCGCATCGCTAATCGAAGCGCTCTCCTATAAATCCTACGACGTGGCTGCCGAATGCCTGGTGCTCGGTCGAGACGTCCTCCCCGGTATGGGTCGGGAGCGCGAAGCGTTCTTGTCCATGTCCAGGGCTCTCACCGACAGCAGCTGGCGCGAGGTAAAAGCCTGCCTCGAAATGGCTCCGCGAGCGTTGCAACACGTGGACGAAGGACAAACCGGCCGTTTCCTCCGATTGGGCGAAAAACTGGCCAAAATGGGATTGCGCGATACTTCCCGTTTCCTGTACGACGGCGCACAGGCCCTCTCCCATGTGTCGGGAGGGTCTCAGGGTCACATTCTCGACCTGTGCGAAGGTTTGCTTTCCACCACGCCAGACGCAGTTCCGCCCTTCCTCAAGAGCCTGGACCCGGTTCTCAATCGTATTACCCTGGCCCAGCTGGACCAATGGTACCAGCACGGCGTTCAACTGCTGAACGACAATCCCGAAAGTGGCATCGCCTTTTTCAAAATCGAATCCAACACCTCAGAGGCGCTCCTCGAAAGCCTCTCGTCCAGCCTGGACCTGGAGCGCGTGAAGGGCATCATGCGCCTGTACACCCGAGCCCTGTCCGGCGCCAACATCGAAGTCTTGAGCACCGCGGAATTGGTGCGCAAGCAAATCGGCTGGGTCGACCAGGACACCGCATCTACCGACGGAACCAAGGTGTACCTCCCACCTATGGTCGACCATTACAACGACAAGACCCAGAATTTCGCCTGGTTCAAAGTAGTTGCGACTCACCAGGTTTCCCACCTGGAATTCGGCAGCTTCGAATTCGATTTCCCCAAGCCGGCCAACGTGTTCGACGACCGACGCCTCGGTATGGAAAACGCGGTTAAGGAACGCACCGAAGCAATTCGCGCCGCCGCCGCTGAGCACTTCAGGATTCAGGACGCAGACGTGGGCCGGCTCAGGAAATGAACGGATCTTCCGGCGCCAGCGTCCGCGTTTACACCGATGTCGGTCGTTTCCTGTCATTGTTCGAAGACCGCAAAATGGCGTTCGACCTGTTCAGCGTTTTCGAAGACTGCCGGTTGGACTATAGAATCAAAACCGAATACCCGGGCATTCGACGGGCTGCTCTCGACGTGCAAGGTGATGCCCTGGTTCAACGGCCCCTCCTAACTGACCTCCCGATTCAGGAAGCCCTCATCGAACTGCTGGTTCACATGAGCCTGGATCATTTCCACGCCTTGCCCGTGCCCCAGGAATTCCGCGATGAAGCCTACATGCTGGCTCGCATCATGCACCGGTTGCGCACCGTAGCCGCATCTGTCGAAGATACCGGCGAGGCAGCTTTGCGCGCGTATGAAATCATTTCGCGCCTGCAAAACGAACAGCAGCCCGAGGACGAATACCAGCCGGAAGACTTGGACGATCCCGGTGAATTCTCTGAAGAAGAATACGAGGCCCTTCTCGATAAACTTCAAGCCGCTATGAGCGATCAACAGGGCGAACAGGGAGACGGCGACCCTTACGAATCCCCTGAACCCGTTGAATACCGTGGCGACTTCAAGCCGGAAATGGTGCAGCTCCTCACCAAACTCCAGATGGACCCCAGCCAGTTGGGCGATGCGGAACCCATGACCCAGGAAGAACTGGAACAATTGCTGCAGGACAGCGCCGAACTCGAACTCGACGCCCAGGAAGGCGACGTGGAACAGAGCATGGCCCAGTTCGCCCAAAACATCATGAAAGAGGCCGGCGTTCCACCACCGTCCAACGACCCGGGGCGCGGCTACGGACCCATCCTCCACGACGACGATTCGGGCGGCGAGCTGGAAGCTCTCGAACCCAAAACCTTCGTTTACGACGAGTGGGACTTCCGAGCCAACGACTATAAACCTCGCTGGTGCATCGTCAAAGAAAAGATCCTCGACGAAGGCGACCACAATTTCTACAACGACTCCCTCAGAAACTACGCCTCGCTGCTGGCGCACATCAAGCGACAGTTCGAGCTCATCATGCCCGAAACCTGGCGCAAGATCTACCGGTTGACCGACGGCGAAGACCTCGACCTGAACGCCGCCCTGGAAGCGTGGGCTGACCTCCGGATGAACCTCACTCCGGACGACAAAATCTACTGGCGCCGTAACCGCATCCAGCGCGACGTGTCCGTGGTATTCCTGCTGGATATGTCGGCATCCACTGCGGAAGCAATCGACGAGGGCCGCCATTCGGTCGATGACCGGGATGCTCCCGACGATCCGGTCGAATACATGGTGTGGCTGCGTCGCCGACGCGAAGGTCTGGTCCGACGGCACTACAAGCGGATCATCGACCTGGAACGGGAGAGTTGCGTCCTCCTTATCAGCGCCCTCGAATCCATCGGTGATACCTACGGTATCTACGGCTTCTCGGGCTACGGCCGTGAAAACGTCGAGTTCTACGTCATCAAAGACATCGAAGAGCAGTTCAACGACAAGATCAAGCGCCGTATCGATAAGGTGACACCACTCCACGCCACCCGCATGGGCTCTGCCATCCGCCATGCCACAACCAAGCTGGAGAATCAGGACTCTCCAACCAAGATCCTCTTCCTGATCAGCGATGGTCGCCCGCAAGACCGCGGGTATAGCCGCGAGGGTGTGGAGAAGGAATACGCCGTCCACGACACCCATCAGGCATTGTTGGAAGCCAAGCGCAAGGACATCGTTCCCTTCTGCTTGACAGTCGACAAGGCCGGCCACGATTACCTGAAGACCATGTGTGGCGACCTCAACTACGAGGTGCTGGATGATATCTGGGCGCTCCCGGAACGTCTCCCCATGCTATACCGCTCGCTAACCATGTAAGTCTCAGGGCCAACCAAACGCAAAAAAACGGGCCGTCCATGCGAGTGGACGGCCCGTTCGATTTTCACAATCTTAATTCCGTGGCATGGCGATACCCTTGGCAAGCGCAGGTCAGCCCGCCACAGACGTGATGAGCTTTCGTAACTCAGTGAGCGCCGTGTTGCACGACCTGCGTTTGATGACCAGGCGCCTCGGTGGCGTTCGCAGGGGATGCTCGTATACATTCTCCCCGTAGGCGATCGCTATGTGAATCGTACCAGGACGATGCCCTTCCACTTCGTCGGGCCCCAGGACCCCCGTAACTCCGATGCCAAAATCTGCCGACGCAACGTCCCGGGCCGTAAACGCCATCGCGTTGGCTGTTTCCTGACTCACGACGCCGTGGGCTCGCACCAAACCGGCGTCTACTCCCGCCGCCACAATGGCATCCTGGGTAAAGGCCACCGTTCCCCCGCGATACCAGTCCTTGCTGCTGGTGGCCTCAGTAATGGTATTTGCCAGAAACCCACCGCTCACCGATTCCATGGTAGCCAGCGTCATCCCGCGCTCCAGCAACGCGGCGCCTACGGAAAGTTCCGGCGTCTCGTCGTCGTAACCCCATATATACGGAGCCAGTCGTTCGTGAATCGCGCCCTCAACCGGAGCGATCAACGCGCGCGCGGATGCTTCGTCAACGGCTCGGGCGATGATGCGCAAATGAATGCCGTCCGCTTTCGAGTAAATCCCCAGATACGGATTCTCCAGCCCGAAGTACTCAGAGATGATCTCGTCGACCGAAGCTTCTCCCAACCCCAACGTCTTGATATTGCGGGTAATGGTAACCTCGGTGTCGATCATCGACTGCAGCTGGGCGTCTATCTCATCCGCCCACATCGCCCGGTTTTCGCCCGGAGGACCAGGCATACAGACGATGTGCCTATCGTTTTTCTCAGCCCACCAACCGGGCGCAGTCCCGTTCCGGTTCTTGATGAAGCGCGCCGAAGGTATCAGATGCGCCTGTTTCACGTTGTGGGTGGGCATATCCTGGCCGCGATTTCGAAACCACTGCCGCAGGTTTTCGATTTCTTCTTCCTGCACCACCGGGGCCTCCCCCAGCGCCGCCGCCACTGCTTCACGCGTCAGGTCATCCTGGGTTGGTCCCAACCCGCCGGTGGTGAAGATGATATCCGACCGTTCCATGCCGCGCCTGAACGCCTCGGTCAGCATTGGCAGATCGTCGCCCACAATACTGACCCATTGGAGCTCAATCCCCAACGCCGGTAAACGGCCCGCGATCCAGCTGGAGTTGGTATCGGTCAACTCGCCCATCAGCAATTCCGTGCCAATAGAAACAATCTCTGCTTTCACAGCAACCTCCTCAGCGGCCCGACCCGGCGCAATCGTACTCCGATCCCACCGGTGGGTCAGTCGCCAGGCAGATAGTGCGTTCTGCCCGCACGGCGTTTACCACGTAAACAATGGGGTCGTCGGGCAATCCGGCGTAATGCACCTGCACTATCATGTTGCCTTCATCGTCCAGTACCGGCTCATCTTTGTCGTCCAATTCAATAAGCTGCCCGCCAATATAAAACTCGTGCGCTGCGTCGAACGTCTTGATGCGGACCACGGTCTCCGGCGGCGCCAGGCCGAATTGCGGATCGGCCGCCCCATCTTCCGAAACCAGCCAACCGCCCATCGCATCGGGGCCACCGGGCTTTCCGGGTTGTGCATACCAGTTCAACTGTTGGCCCCACCAGGTGGGCATCGTCACCGGCAGTTGTTCGCCGTCCACGGTAGCGTACCAGATGCGCTCGTCGGGGTTGGGCACGTAGGTTACCGTTACATCCTTATGGGTAACCTCCAGCTCCTGGATATCACGAACATTCACCTCGTAGAAGAAACCCAGTTCCAGCGCCGGCGGAGTATAAGGCGGCTCGTTAACCAAACGGTTAATCACCATAGCCCAAATTTCCGCCACCGTGAACAGCTGGGGATTTCCCGCCAGCAGCATGTAATTCTGCTCACCGTCCGGAGTAACGTCACCCAGCCAGAACTCGTACATCTGACCGGTTTTCTCGGTAATTTGGATAATGCTTTCAGGCGGTTCCAGTCCGTATTGTGCCGGATTTTCGATAGTCTCCAACAGCACCCGACTAACCTTCGGCCCACTCAGCAATAACGGTGTACCTGCCCATTTGTCCTGGTATACCTGCGTACGCTCATCACCATCCACTATGAACCATTTACCGCGTCCCAGGTCCTTGTCATAAACGACGGTTTCTCCTTTGTGCGTAACTTCCACGTGCACAATCTCATCGTCGTCTACGTGCCACGCCCACGGTCGGTCATCCGGCGGCTCCGGCTGTTCCCATGGCTTAAATACCAGCGCCAGCACTCCGAATATTGCCAGCACAAACACCAGCATGATGGTTAACCTGATGTTCATAGTCTAGCCGACAGCAACCGTTAGCGACGTACCCACCAGACCACGATGGCCATCAACCCCATCAAACCCGGCAACAACAGCCAGGTGGAGAACCGCACAAAATTGAACTCATTTTCGTCCAGGTTCCACTCCCGGTAAATAAACTCCCGGTCCCGAATTGACACCAGTGAGAAGTCTCCCATCAGGTAGTTCGCGGTGTTCAGGAACAACGCCGCGCTGGAACCGCGGTGAACGTTGCCGTTGGCGATGAAATCCGAATCCCCAAACACTGTCATCCCCGCCACCTCGTTGTTGGGCGGTTGGCTCGTCAGGGCCGCTGCGCCGACCGGACCAGCGATGTTCAGGTACACGGCCGGGTAAAACACTCGCTGTGGGTCGTCATCTACCGGATCAATGCGTTCGATATCGGATATCAACCGGGCGGATGGAGTGGTTGCGGCTATGGGCACCGCGATGCGCGTGTTGGCTTCTTCAACAATCGGTTCCACCGCTGCGGCCCCGGGCATGAACGCCACGCTTAACGGCTGCCCTCTTGGCGCCACAATCTCGACGGGGGCCTGCGGGTTGTAGATTCCCACCCGCAGCGTGCGCGGAGCATTAGGTTGGGACCCTTCGACGTCACGAATGTATGCGTCCGTAACCACCACACCCCAAAACGCCAGGAACGCCCGGAACGAATCATCTGTATCATGCTCCGCCAGGAAGATAAGGCGCGCGCCCTCCCGCCTGGGTTCGCCATCCGTCTCCCGGCCCGCCATGTAGGCGTTCAGCGCATTTGCATGGGCTGGCGGCAGATCACCGGTCGGCCCGGCGATAACCAGCAACGCAGCGTCACCCGGGACAGCAACCTCCTCGTCGCTCAGCGCCCACGACAAATTGGCGACTTCGTAATTGTCGCCCTCCAGGTTCGCGCGAATGATGTTGTACCCATCCGGCTCATCTCTGAAAACATCCCGCTCACCGTGGCCCACCAGAAAATATACTTTCTTGCGTTCCGTTCCCGTGGCAACCAACAGCGCAGTGTATAGATCCTGCTCCAGCCGGCTGAACGCCGGGTCTGTCGGATTGATTAGATCGATGGTCCTGGTGTCAACCGCCAAAACCGACAACGTTTCGTACTGCGTAACACCCTGACCGCGGGCCAGGTCCGGCTCTTTCTGTGGGTCCAGGAACCGGTGGGCGAAGTTGCTATTGCGTTTGCTGAACTCGCTGAGCGTGGTCTCCACCTTGCGCCGTCGGGTCAATAAATCGATATCGGTTATCTCGTCCGGGTAGTATGCAATCACGCTGATGGGTTGGTCCAGGTTGTCCAGTAAATCCCGCGTGCGGTCTGCCAACGAGAACTGGTTGGTCGCCGTGGTGTCAGCTCGAACGTGATTTTCGAATGCAACGTAGTTGATCAATACTACCAGGCCGATAAACGCCGCCACCATTATTACCGTATTAACGCCGTATCGACCGGTGCGGCTGAAAAACGCCGCCACCACCTGACTGAAGTAAGACACCCCAACCAGAGCCACCAGCACTGCGCCAAACGCCAGCACAATGATCCCGTACAGGCTCAGGGAACTCACGAACCCCAGCAGCACCCCGCCTATCACCAAACCTACGACGCCCGCAATCAATATCGGCGCATAAAAAACGCCCACGGCGTTGAACACCGGTTCGATAAACGAGAACAGCGTCCTGGACTGTTCGTCTAAGGGCGGCGACCCCTCGGCCGCAACATTGTCTGGCGATTGTTCCTGCCGGCGATCCCTGGACCGGCGCCTTCGCCAGTCTCCGGGAGTTTCATCGGTACGCTGCTGGCTCACACTACCTCCAGCGCCTCGACTCCAGCGCACGTATCGACAGGAACAGGAACAGGGCGGTCACGGTGACAAAATAAACGATATGCGTCGTATCTATAATGCCCCGGTCAAAGTCGTTGAAGTGGCTGGTGAATCCTATTTGATTGAATATGGTCGCCCACACACCGGAAACGTTATTTCCGATCAGTGCAGAGGCGGCGTACAAGGCTCCCAATATCCCGAAGCCGACCACTGCGGCAACTATCTGGTTGCTGGTCAGCGTAGATGTCAATATCCCCACCGCCAGCGCCGCCATGCTGTACAGCACCAGGCCCAGATATCCCGAGTAAATCGGTCCCGGGTCTGGAGACCCGAACACCAGCAACAGAATTACATAATATGACGACAACGCCAGCAGGAACAGCAGGAAAACAAAGCTGGACAGATATTTACCAATCACAACCTCCCAGTCTCGCACCGGGGAGGTGAGCAGCAGCTCAATGGTTCCCAATTTCTGCTCTTCGGCAAGCAATCGCATGGTCAACGCCGGCGCCAACGGGATCAATACAAATGTTGCACCCCGGAAAAAGTTGCTTAGTGATGCCTCAGGGAACGGATTCCCCAAGTCGCTCACGAAGAAGAAACCGCTCACCGCGGTGAAAATCAGCGCCACGATATACGCCACCGGGCTGCTGAAATAGATCTGGATTTCCTTGAACGCCACGGCGCGGATGGTTCGCATGTTGCTCTAATCCGCCGTCTCTTGGCCCGTTTCCGATGTCGTCAGACGCAGGAATATCTCTTCCAGGCTCATGCTGCTGATCTGCATTCCCAGCAAGTTCCAGCCGTTGTCCAACACTGCCCGGGATATATCGCCCCTCAGATCCAGCCCTTCCAGGAATTTCACCCGATAGGCATTGATGCCGGGCCTGGGGTGGTGGGTTACCTGTGTCACACCTTCTATCGAACGCAGCAACGGCAATACTTCGGCCGGCGGCCCGCCTACCTCTACCTCCAGCAGCTCCACGCCCTGCAGGTGTTGAGCCAGGTTGTTGCGTGTCCGCCGCCACAATGTGCCCCTCGTGGATAATCAGCACTCGCTCGCAAATCATGCTGACCTCGGGCAGAATGTGGCTGCTCAGCACCACCGTTTGTTCCCGCCCCAGGTCCTGAATCAGGCTGCGGGTCTCCACCACCTGAATCGGGTCAATGCCTATCGTGGGTTCATCCAGCACCAATACTTCCGGCTCGTGCAATATCGCCTGGGCGATTCCCACCCGCTGTCGAAATCCCTTGGACAACTTGCCAATGAGGGTCTTGTGGTAATCCTCCAGGCGGCACAGACCAATCACGTCGTCAATCCGCGCGCGAATCCGGCGCCCGTTCATTCGGCGCAGCGTACCCATGTACTTCAGGTAGCTGGTAACGTTCATCTCAGTGTGCAGCGGCACTGATTCCGGCAAATACCCAACGCGCCGGCGCACTTCCAGCGAATCACCAACCACGTCGTAGCCGTCCACCGTAACCGACCCGCGGGTCGGCGGCATAAACCCGGTCAATATACGCATCGTCGTTGTCTTCCCGGCCCCGTTGGGTCCCAAAAACCCCAGAACCTCCCCGCGACGCACGGTGAAATTCACGTTCTCAACCGCCGGAGTAGGACCGTAGTAATGAGTAAGATCATTTACTTCGATCATGATGTCCGGGTCTGTACCAGCACCCATTTCAAGTTCGTATCCGGTTTCAGCAGTCATCAGTATTTCCCGGTTCGTCCCACAGATCCCCGCAAGGATCCAATCCGCTTCTTCCCTACATACGGTTGCGCCGTGGCTGCAGATTGCAACCGCGGCGCCTGAGTTTAGAGTACGGCCGCGTCGTCCCTTTGAATTGGCGCAGCGGCTATGATATTCTATACGCCGCATTTTCACAAGATGGCGACGGCCCCGCGCAACGGGGCCAATTTTCTGGGCAGGGTAAATTATAGCGAAATGCACCTGATTATTGACGGCTTCGGCGGTGACGCCGATATGATGTGGGACACGGAACGTTTGCGGTCATTCCTCGACGAATATCCGTCCAATTTGGGCATGACCAAGATCACCGTACCGGAAGTCCTGGAATACCACGGGCCAAACCCCAGTGACGGTGGCATATCCGGTTTCGTTATCATTGCCGAAAGCCACATCAGCGTACACACTTTCCCCCATCGGGATTACGTCAATATCGACGTCTTCTCCTGCAAGTCGTTCGACCACGAACAAGCCCTTGCCGACGCGCAATCGCTGTTCAATCTAACCCAGGTCAAATCCTGGCTCCTCGACCGCGGCCTGGAGTGGCAGGACGCCGACCAGGGAATCGTTGAAACCAGCCGCCAGCGCACTTTCCTGCAGGCTGCGGCATCCGGTTCCCCTGTTGGCTGACGATTCGTCGCTATCCGTCCCCTGGACGCCAACCAATTTTCTGGCGCTGCCGCCCCACCAGGCCGCCCTGGACTCAGCAGCCGCCGTAATCATCCCAGTCCCCATCGATAGCACCACGTCGTTCCGCAGCGGCGCCCGTTATGGCCCGTCGGCCATCATTGCCGCGTCCGCAGCCCTTGAGGACTATGACCTGGAATTGGGCATCGACGTCGCCGAACTGGGCATCCACACCACTCCCCCTCTGGAACCCAACGTCGGTGATCCAAGGCAAATGGCCCTCCGTGTCCAAACCGCCGTCAGCCAGTTCGCCGCCCTGGACAAAACCACCGCCGTCATCGGAGGTGATCATTCTGCGGCCATCGGTTCGGCCATCGCTCACCGGGAGCGTCATCCCAACCTGTCGGTCCTGTACATCGACGCCCACGCTGATTTGCGCAACGAATATCAGGGTACGGCATGGGGACACGGTTCCTCCGCCAGGCGCATATCCCACCACTGCCCCGTAATTCTGGTTGGCGTCCGCACGCTGGCTCTGGAAGATGGAAAACGAAGACGACGCGAGAGACGATCGAAGCGGGCGTCCTGCGTACTACTGGCCCCAGCATAGCGACACCTACATCGCCGAGGTCATCAGCCGGTTGAGCCCCCAAGTGTACGTCAGCGTAGACCTCGACGCCATGGACCCTTCCGAAATGGCGGCTGTGGGCACTCCTGAACCCGGTGGAATGCGTTGGTCGGAACTCCTGTGGCTGCTGCGTCAAGTGGGCCAACACCGCCAGAGTTGGCGCTTATGATTTCGTGTGCGAGCTTGCCCCCGCCGAGGGTCCGCCGGCCAACAGTTACACCGCGGCTAAATTGGTCTACAAATTGATCGCCTACGCCTGCGGATCGCAATTGACATAAGCAGCCCAATTCTTGACAACGCTGACGGCGCACCCCTACAATCCCGGCATTCAGCGCACCGTCGCACACTCCCGCATTTAGAACCGCCCGCACACCGTTGCGTAAGGAGAATTCCTATGCCACAACAATGGCCTACCGTTACCTACAAAGAGGAAGGCATGCGAGAAGGCATGCAAATCGAAGACGCCAACATAACGGTCGACGACAAAATCGAACTGTTGGATATGTTGTCGGAGACGGGTCTCAGCAGCATTGTTGTCGGTTCTTTTGTTAGTCCCAAATGGACCCCGCAGATGGAGCGTATTGACGAAATCGTACAGCGATTTACTCCGAAGCCCGGCGTCACCTACTCTGCGTTGGCATTGAATTCCCGTGGCGTGGAACGTGCGCGCGCCTATTCTCCGCCCCTCACCATCGAACGCGACAAATATCCGCGCCTCAGCTGCCATCTGTGCGACGTGTTCGTCCGTCGTAACACCAATCGCACCCAGATGCAGGAAATGGAGCGTTGGCCGGAAATCATCGCCCAGGCGCAGGAAGTTGGCATCAAGGAATCCGGAATCGGTTGCAATGCTTCCTGGGGATCGAACTTCCTGGGTGAGTTTCCGGTTGACAGCCTCATGACTTTGCTGGAATACCAGCACGGCCTTTGGGACGAAGCCGGCATCAAGGTGGTCAGTTGCTCAATGGGCGATCCCATGAGCCATTGCACGCCGGCAAAGGTGGAAGAAAGCGTTACCCGCGTGAAAGAGCGCTGGCCCGAAATCAACCACTTCCGCCTCCATCTTCACAACGGGCGCAACATGGCCATCGCGTCAGCCTACGCCGCCATGAGGGTTCTCGGGCCAGAGGATACCCTTGAGCTCGACGGTACTATCGGCGGATACGGCGGTTGCCCCTACTGTGGCAACGGTCGCGCCACCGGTATGGCCCCCACCGAAGACCTGTTGCACATGATGGACGATATGGGTATCCCAACGGGCGTTGACATCGACAAGCTCATCGATTGCGTCTGGGCAGCCGAGCGGATCATCGGTCGGGAGCTGTACGGCCACGTTTCCAAAGCCGGCCCGCGTCCTCGTACCGTCGACAAACTCTACGACATCAATATGCCCTTCGTCGAAACCATGGGACAGGCCCTGCACTTCAAGAAGGGCTCCGAGGTCTACGAAGGCGGTATCTACCCCTATCGCGAGCCCATCACCAGTCCTTACCGCGACCGGATCGATCAGGGCTTGCCTGCATTCGGAACCGGAGCCAACGAGTTCCCCTGGAACCAGGACTGGCTGCCCAAGGCCGACAGTTAAACCCCCACGGCAAAGCGGTTGCAAATTGTAAGGGGCGGGTTGATTGACCCGCCCCTCGTCTTTGGCTCTAACCAGCTAGGCGGAGGCGACTCCGCTTCGATTGGTGTTTGACCGATAGATTACGCAGATGTGCAGGCCACGCTGATTACGTTCATGGCCGTTTCTGGTACCGTGTCCGCCGCCCAGGTTGCTCCGCTGTCGTGGGTGCCGAATATCTGGCCCCGTCGGGTGCAGAAATACACTTGCGACGGATCCTGTCGGTTTACGGCTACTCCGAACGTGGTGCTGCCCGCGCTGATGCCCTTGTCAAACCGCTCCCAACTCTCGCCCAGGTTGGTCGTACGCATCACGCCGCCCTCTTCGCTCCCGAAGTTCATCCCTACGCAGGCGTAGAGCGTATTCGGATCTGAAGGATCTCGGACTATCCCACGGGAATACTTGATTTCCGAGAACTGGTCAAAGTTGCAGTTCTGCCACGACGTTCCCCGGTCGCTGCTGCGCCAAACGCCGGTGCGGTTCGAGATGAAAACAGATCCGGAATCCGCAGCTCCTACCGCTACCCCGTGCAAATCCAGCAGATCCACGTCACCATCAAACTCGCTGTTGCGGATCGTCCAGGTATTGCCGCCGTCCGTGCTGCTGGCCGCTCCGCCAACCTCCAGCGCAGCGTACATATTGTTGGGGTTGGCAGCCTCAATATCTATGCCCAAAATGCGCATTGCGAATGCCATTTGTACTTGACTGGGGTTGGAGATCGTGGCGGTTTGGGTCCAGTTCTCCCCGCCGTCTACGCTCTTGTAGACTTCAGCGCCCTCGGTCCCGCAAAACATGATGTTGGGATCGCCGGGATGGAACCGCAACGACCAGACCACTCGGCCTTCGGTCATATTCATGCGCTGCCAGTGGTCTCCCCCATCGGTGCTCCGATATACACCCCGTTGCGTGCCGCAGAAAATGGTGCGCGGATCGTTGGGATGAATCGCGATCGCCCGGGCCTGGGTGGCCGGGGCCAAACCATCGGTGAGCATGTCCCAATGGGCATCGCCAGCCGTTTTGCGATAAAGACCGCTTGCTTCGGCTCCTACGTATACGATTGTATTGCCAGCCATAACATTACCTCCTCTTCGGATGTGGTCGCACGGTGGTTTCTATCGCCATTTCAGCAGACCGCAACGAAGATGTCAAACCTGACGCGCACCCGCCCCACCCCTGTCATTGTCAGGAGCGTCACCCTCTGTCATCACAAGCAGCGCAGCGACGTGGCAATCCCGTTGGGCAGCGACGCAGCAATCCCGTTGGCATGGGTGGCGAACCGCCGCACATCCTGAGCCCCCCGAAGGCCCCCTCTCCCTTGATGGGAGAGGGCTGGGGTGAGGGTGAAAATATCCCCTGTCATCACAGGCACCGCGGCGACGCGGCAATCCCGACGGCAACCGAAAATCCGACGACCCCACAAATCCCAGCGTCGCGCTATGTCCTGTATTCAAAGTTCGCTGGCAAAAGTGGGCGACGTTGGCCAGGATTTGGTCGGCGGTCTTGGTCCAGACAAAAGGTTTGGGGTCTTCGTTGGTGACGTCCAGGTAGCGGTAGATGGCAGTCTCCAGTTCGGCTCTGCTCTGATGCACGCCGCGGCGCAACTGCTTTTCGGTGAGCAGACCGAACCAGCGCTCCACCAGGTTCAGCCACGAGGCGCTGGTGGGTGTGAAGTGCATATGGAAGCGGGGCCGCTTGGCAAACCAGTTCCGGATCAGCGCCGTCTTGTGGGTGGCGTAGTTGTCCGCGATCAGGTGGACGTCGAGGTCGGCGGGCACCTCGGCCTCGATGGTATCGAGGAATTTGCGGAACTCCACGGCCCGGTGCCGTTGGTGGCAACGACCAATCACCTTGCCGGTCCTGGTGTCTAAGGCGGCGAACAGCGAAGTGGTGCCGTGACGCAGGTAATCATGGGTGCGCCGTTCCACTTGTCCCGGGCGCATGGGCAATAGCGGACGGGTGCGATCCAACGCCTGGATCTGGGACTTCTCGTCCACGCACAGGACCAACGCCCGATCCGGTGGATTCAGGTATAGCCCCACCACGTCCCTGACCTTCTCGATGAAGAAGGGGTCCGACGACAACTTGAAGGTCTCCGTGCGGTGGGGCTGCAATCCGAAGGCCCGCCAGATGCGGCTGACCGTGTTGTTGCTAAGCCCACGAAGACGAGGGGGGAAAAGGGAAAGGGAACGAAAATGCGGGCGGTGAGTAGGAAAGAGGGA